CCGTGTGTGTCCTCGGACGAGTTTCACCGGCAATGTAGAGGCTGCACGAACACAAGTGAACCCATGTAGGAAGTTCAAACAACTTGTCAGGACACATAACGACAGTGAAAGACAGTTCCTATTGTTCTGGCTTGATGTAGTCGGCTCTTTCTGCAGTTGCAGTAACTGACATCTCGTCCAATACCCCTTCCGTGTTCTTTCCCCCGTGGTAATCTCGACCATCCCTATTTTAACTACATTATTGTTGGGCCTTATTTTTCTCAAAACTGGCGAATTTTCACGCTTTCTTCACTACCAACGAACTATTCCCAAACTAATCTTCCGCTTTTCGGCTGAAGAGGTGTACCTAAAAAATATCCTGAACTGTACCTGCAGGGTATGATGTGAACGGAAAATAACCCTTAAGCCTTGCTTATACCTAAAGTTTCAGGGAGCAACGGAACGTCAGTTAAAGGCACAGTTCACGTCAATTTTGGGGTATCCGGTTTTTTGGCGAAATTTGACAAAAAATGTTAGATACGGCTTACAATAGTACAATGGTAAACGAGGAAACGCGAAAAAAGATGAATATATAGAAATAGAGAGCCACAAAAAACAAGGAAAAAGGGGGGCTGGACGGGCTAAATGGCCAAAAAACGGCGATAAGGGATTTTTCGGGCGAGTCAGACAAACGCGAGGCAGTGTCTGCCATTGCACACAACACACCAACAGCTGATTTTGGCTTATTCATCAAAACCAATTCTCCTACCGCTATTAATCTGATTTATTATGCAAAATCAGTTTCGACCTTTTAGCGACGGCTGAGGAAAATTAATTAGAATAGAAAAGCGTAGAATATAGTCGAATACTAGAAGAACAGCCTAATAGTAGTCCCAATACGAGGCGGTCGTCCAGCTGACCGTCTGTGGGCAATTTGCCAACCAGCCTATCGATTTTTCACTAATGTTGCTCCAATGCGAAAGTGGTGGAAGGACAATTTGAACTCGTAGTCAACCTAGCGAGGGGCGGAGGCCTCTCGTCCCCCACTGTTCCTGCCCTTATTGTGCCTATCCAGACTGTATTCCGACCTAATTCCTGCACAAATGGTATCAGAGGGGGCTTCGAATTCAAACCATGTGCAAATCTCCGAAACCACTTTTTCGTGAGCTGTGCCTTTGAATATAGATTTCATCCAAAAGCGCTTGAAAAAATCGAACATGAAACATTGTCTATCTATGCCATGTCTTACGATAAAAGAAGATGAACTCTTTTATTTCAACTTTTAGTTCGAGTCATCCTACTAGGTAGGGATATCTGATAGGTAATAAATCTCTTCGTTATGGGCAACTGACTCAGAAGAATTAAATAAACTCCAACGTCTCATTTCGACTTTGTTCCTTTTCTTTAAATTTCAATCACTTGCAGACATACTTCATGAATTCAACCCAGAAGTGACTGGCGCATCTTACGGAGAGGGGTATGATGATACTGGATTCAATGTAGGTGTTAGCGGCGAGACTAGTTTGGATCTACCGCGACAAGCACAAAATCTCATAAATAGAATGAGGAGTAGTGGAGTGAGTTTTTTTGTTGCGACATTGGTAAATTTTTGAAGGAAACATGCCTCAATGAGGGCATGTTGCCTTCAATTACGAAAAGAGAATAAAATACGAATGTTCTCGTTTTCTAGAGCTGTTATCAGTCATTATCCTTTCTGTCACTGCCTGCGGTCCCGTTCAGCTCATACCGCCCATTGAACTGCCAAAACTTCTTGGTTGTACGGCTAGGGAATTCCTATGCCTCTTTCATGCCATGACCCTTCATCAGCTCTATAAATTGTTATCCATTCCTTTCGCCGATCATGAGTTCCTTAACCGTGAATGTTTCCTTTTTTATCCATTCACGAGGCCCTAACGAGCTCTAATGTGCAGAATTTTGCTCAGTTCTCATGTGTTCTTCCCATCTTGCCCCGCGCCCCATCCATATTAAACATGCCCCATCCACTCCAGATGCTGCTTCAGGTAGTACCGAATTTTGTGACAAACAGGCACTCAAGCAGACAGAAAGACATGCAGAGACAGAGACAGGCAGAGAGATCAATAGAGAGACAGACAGACAGACAGACAGACAGACAGACAGACAGGCAGGCAGGCAGGCAGACGGACAGTCAGGCAGGCAGGCAGACGGACAGTCAGACAGGCAGGCAGGCAGACGGACAGTCAGACAGACAGGTAAACAGATGAACGTGAGCGCTTTCTGTACAGTAGGCTTATCACCCGCCAAATGAAACATACTACAGTTTAGAGAAATTCGATGGCTAGCCCTACAGTATGTTGATTCGATGGAATTCCTTAGAAGTTTTTGCTTTTCAGGTCAGCCTGGAGAATGATTGGAAACTAATAACAATTTTTATTGGGACGAACGACATTGGAAAACTTCGATGCATAGATCGTGTAGGCCTATTTGCTTTATACGCCTTTCATAACTATCTAAGATTACCTGATACTCACGTTCCTTTCTTTACACAATCTCTGCTGCTTCCAATCATTCCTTCACCATTTTAATCGTATTTATTTCGTAGTTTCAGTCCACTATTAATGATCATTAGTACGTGGATACTGTATCACATCGTGTAACATCACAGTCGCCACCACTGGCGTGTCCCATGTGGCCCAGTAGGTAGGATTCGTTGTTACAGGCGCGGCCTGGGATCAATTCACGGCGTGGTGATTAGTTTTGCATCTCCCTGTACAACAGAATGGCACATGATTCACTTGAAACGCTGCTCTCTTTAAAAAATCCCTGTACAAGCTTTTGTCATTGACGGAATCAAGCTTGATTAAGACCCAGATATGATAATTAGAGGAGTCAAGAAGCACCCCAAAAACGGGTCTGGTTAACGCTAATTTATACCGACTCATCCTTAATCCTCCCAAGCTCACATGCCAGCATAACTTTCATACGTTTTGTTTTTGAATTGCTGTCTTTTCCTACATCGAATCCTCAACACTGCAGGAAGATGACAAAAAACTTCCCTTGTTTTTCAACCTCCAAGTTCAGAACTCCAGATTAAAGCAAATTCGCGACCCACTCAGTTTTCTTTCGTATTTATTCCCAACTCGTATATTACCAGGAAACAACTCCTCGCGACGTATACAAAGCGAAGATCGAAGAGACGATATCACTGCTGCGCAGTAATATGAATCGCACCATTGTCTCAATTGTCTCAATATGGAACTCTCAGCTAATTTATGATGCAGCAACACTTATGGAAAATGGGTCCGTCTACCAAATCTTCGATTTTTTGAATATTTTTCATGGCTGTCTAGGTCTTATAGATGAAAGGTGGTCAGCAGCCTTATCAAGGATCCCTTCACCAGATACTAGTTTGAACTTAGTTAGTTTCTTCTACTACCTGACGCTCAGAACATGCTGAAAACAGACGAATTTCCTCTTTCAAAATTTTTGCTCAGCTCTGGACATTTTTTATTCATCCTTCCCCTTCGCACCACAGTCGCTATTCTCAGCCTAGCTGCACTGCCTTTCTCCAGCACTCCTTCACCTTCAATGAAGACAGATCCCTATTTTTTGAGAACCAGATGACTTCTTCGTTGGTGTTATCACTTATCTGCTTGCAGTACACAAATAGCATCGCCAGCAATTTGTGAAAAGAGTTGTAGTTGCTTGGGAACAAAAGTCAACTAGGCCCCAGAAAAAGCTGGCAAATTAGTAGCAAGCAGTCGCTGCTGTTTACATGGCCAACAAGCAGCAAAATCCTTCAAGTAAAAGTACCTTACCTGGGTACAAAAGTAGTTATTGCTTTCATTTTACGTGCAAAGCCCATAATCTAACAAATGCCACTTCTTCAAGCACAAGGTTGCAATGCGGTGACGATTATATATCAAGACGTGATGCATTAACAGAAGAATACCGAGATGTAAGTTAATTCATAAGAGGTTTCAAATTCGGTTTCCTTCTAAACCTAATTTTTCTTCAGGTGGCTTATGAAATACAGAACTCGAAAAAATTCGATTATCCAGATTTCACAGTTGTTGTGCAGGGATTCATGGATGATATTCGGGACGCTTTCCGGAATGTGAGATTGATTTTTTTAGTTCCTCAAAAAAAACCTGTCTGGACTATGTATTTTGAGGATCGTGAGGGAATAGGTAGTTCTAGTCCTCATGAACTTTCAAAAATGTCGATGGTAAGTAGGCCATTAAAAGGCAAAGTGAATGTTCGAGTGAGTGCGGTGTGCTCCAACTCTCCCGCTTACTTATAGTATGTCTAGCTCCTTCGCCTGATGATATGATTAGTTTTTTTACAGAAACTAGGCAACTATGACAAATCATTTTACGGTGCTGACATGTTTCATCTGAGCAAATATGGGAATGCAGTGCTCGGAAAATTCCTTTGGAACTGTCTGCTTGAACCTGTCGGAAAAAAATCCAAGAAAGTGAACTTAGGGGATGATTCAATTCCTTTGAGTTGTCCGACTACGGTTTGTATCTAACAGAATAATTTCAAGGTAATCGTTACAAAAACAAAGCCAGTCCTTGCTTTTTCAGAGCTCTCCCTTCATACAAACTATAGGGAACGGATCATGACAGCAGATGTACTCTTTATTTTGCTGCCGAAATTCTGTATAAAAATTTGCAATTATCAATGTTCAAAGGAATAAATTATTGCTGTGTAATACAACCCATGCGCCCTTGCATTCACGTCCCTTTATCTGCATAACTGCAGTGAACAAGATTCCTAAACTATTTTCATTTCACTTGTCAATATAGGTGATCAGAAGGGCAGCAAAGTCTGTGAAGAAAGATTTTTCCACATCCGCTCTCCGCGATCATGATCTAATTATACTTTATAACCTTGAGAAATGTTGGAAGGTGGCACACTCATAACGTGATTTCAACGAACTTCTTGGCTATGGAACATTCAACCAAAGCCGAACAAGGAATGGAATTCGCTTCTACGGCCCCCTATTCACCTACAGAAACTCCTATGGATTATCACGCTCATCGCCCGTTGAAAATTGGTTAACGGACAGAACTTTCGACGAAGTGGATGGCTTGATGGCCAACGTCAAGGCGTGATCGCCTCTAAAAATCGAAACTTCTTCGCCTGTGGAATCCGACCGCCTAGCAAATGGGAAGCAGTGCTTGACGTAGATGGTGGATATGTTCCGGAGCAATTATACGAACACGTCTTTGCTAGACATTTCTATCGTTTCTTCAAGTAAAATTTGCTGAAAAAAATCCGCAATAATTATGCATTAACCTAACA